TTTCTCAGAGAGGTCCCTTAGGTGAGTAGCACCTACTGAGGCTTCTGGACTCTTTTCATCATACTCCCCTTGTGGTGGGGATTTGCATTGATTATTCATGTTGGTGTGGAGGTATTGAGACTGAGATGTTACACGAGATTGCCCGGTATGGATAAACTACCTGTGGACACGTGAGCGTCTGCTCGCCCAAAATAAGGCCATGCCCTCTTCCGAACAGGGTACACCCAATACTACAGAGGCCATGCCCTCTGTGGGTACCTGGAGTCTGTGGGGGGTACAACCTGGGGATGAAAGAAGACCTGCCACAGTGTTGGGGACGAACAGGAAGAGGCTCAGGGATGCTGAGTGTCCCAGTATCCCAGGGTCCTAGAGTAAGCCTGGGGCGTGTTCGGGGGGAAACCCAAGTCCCGGGTTTGAATCACTGACCTGAGAGTGGAAGAAAACCAGACACAGCGTTGGGGACGAACAGCAAGAGCCTCAGGGATGCTGAGCATCCCAGGGTCCTAGAGGATGCTGGCAGCGTGTTCGCGGGGAAAGCCAAATCCCGGGTTTGAGTCCCTGACCTGTGGATGGAAGAAGACCTGGCACAGCATTGGGGAATGAACATGAAGAGGCTCAGGGATGCTGAAAGTCCCAACATTCCAGGGTCCAAGAGGACACCTGGGGAACATTTGCAGGGAAAGCCAAGTCCCGAGTTCGAGTCACTGACCTGCGGGTGGAAGAAGACCTGGCACAGTATTGGGGATAAACATGAAGAGGCTCAGGGATGCTGAGCATCCCAGGGTCCTAGAGGACACCTGGGGCACGTTTGCAGGGAAAGCCTAATGAGTCATACGAAATTACTACCTGACTCAGCTTAAAATTAATTTCACATTGAGCTGTTGTGAGGAGGGGGGTTATAAATATAATAGCATTAGAACTCTACTTGGCACATAGTAAGTATTCGAATAACCCTGATTATTGACATGATAATGGTTTATGCACATCAAAAATAAAATGTTTTTGGTCATCGTATAATTGAAACCCAAGCACAAAAATTTGTAAGTCTACAACTGTACCTCATGGTGTCTCATTAGTAAAAAATAAAAATAAAAAAATAAAATGTTTTATGGCTTGGAGGCCAACCACATATGCTAGGGGAAAAGGCAGCTCAGATAGAGAAGGGAGCACCAATAAAGGGTGTTGGGAGGATCCTCCCAGGATGGGAGATGCATGCTGAAAGTAGACTATAGACCGAACATGATTTCCACTCAATGCCTCTTTTGCAAACCACAGCACCCAAAAGGAGAGAGAGAACAAAAGGAAATGCCCTTCCACAGAGGCAGGGTGGGATGGGGGAGAGAGGGGGGTGGTAGGGATACTGGGATCAGTGGTGGTGGAAAATGGGCACTAGTGGAGAGATGGGTACTTGATCATTGTATAATTGAAACCCAAGCACAAAAATTTGTAAGTCTACAACTGTACCTCATGGTGTTTCACTAATAAAAATTTTTTAAAAATAAATAAATAAATAAATAAATAAAATGTTTTAAAATTATCAAGCATAAGCAAGATGAATGATTAACCAGCATTATTTTCTGAACCTTAAATAGAAAATGGAATCATGCCTTCCAATGTGGCAGAGGTCTTATCCAGATAGGAAGGTCCTGTCACAGGTCCTTCAAGAACAGTGTCTGCCTGGTTACCATCTCAGCCCATGAAATGAGCTATACAATTATCTATACAATTGTGTCAGTGATGTCCTAGTAGTCAGAGAGAATAGTACAAACAGAAAGCCTCATGAGAGTAGGAGAAAGGAGGAAAACAGTACATTTTAATTGCTCCCACACCTCAATACTTCATCCCCAGTGAGAGGAAGCCTTGGGGAAGCACATTGTTTCTGATGAACATTGTTTCTGATGAAACTTATTTTACCTTGAGACCCTAATAAAATCAGGTGACTTTGGCAAGCACCTCTGGTAGCCCGGTAAGAAAGCTTCATGGAGAATCAGGGCTTTTGACATGTAAAATCTTTGTGAACAGCCAAGAACTGACTCCTGCATTGGATCCCCTAGAAAAAGAATCCAAGAGATTATGCATTGCCCCCAGAGACCTTCCCTAGAAGGCATTTGAGGTAAACCCAGCGTTTACTGCAAACAAAGGTTTCTTTGGAGAGAGAGGGTAAGTATTTAAACTCCATCTGTTCTAGAACTTTTGAATCGCGGGATAGCAAAAGTCTGATTTCTCCATAGCATCCCAGGTATTTTCCAAAATTAACAGCCCATCTTTTGCTGTAACACGTCGGAAGAGAGGAAGTGTCTTCTCTAACCTTCACTCCTTTTAGACACATTCAGAGATTGTTGAGGCTAAAAGAGGGTCTCTCAAAAAAAAAAAAGAAAAGAAAGAGGGTCTCTCACCACAGCAACCACCTGGGAACTAACATATGATAAGCCTAATTCTAATACATGCTATTTGTCTGTAGATATGGAGTAAATTATTTTCACCCAGACTTTTAAACCGAAAGCATAAGAGGCCACTGATCTGGGTTCTGAATGATCTGAAAAGCTGGCTATGTCTGTTGACCCTTGTGGGCACGGGCTCTCTTGGAAGACTCCGTGGAGCTACTCGGAGCTCCGTTCCACATGCATCATATTCCAGAAGGACCCAGGGGAGCATAGGCTGTAGCATGCCATCTAGTTTACCTCCCCACTATGTATGGACTAGCATCAAGACTAGTCTTTATCATCTCCTTTCTCCTAAATGCCCACAGCAAACTTTATTCTAGGACTAATGCTTACCAACTCATCTAGTTAGTATTACTCCAGGTTGAAGTCAAATATTATCTTCCCAAGCTGCTATCATCTACAAGTGTGGATTACTCTTTACTATGTAAACATCAAGTATGAATTCCAAAATTATTTCTAGGCTTGTTCATTTTCTATTTAGCAGACTTATCATGTTCACAATCATAATAAATATAGTGGAAACTTTACTAATATCAAGAAAACCTAGGCAGGTAGCATTTTTATTCTATTCATCTAGTAAAACTAAGGAAATGGTTTGCAATATTGATACTGAAAGATTATCAAGAATATCCCTTACCTACTTTTAACGAATGGGAGGGAGCCTGGGGACACTGGTGCTGGGAAATGTACACTGGTGGAGGAATGGGGGTTGAAATATTGTGTGACTGAAATCCAATCATGAACAGCTTTGTAATGGTCTATCTTGCAGTGATTCAATTAAAAGTTAAAAAAATAAATAAAATAGAACTCAAAAAGAAAATAAAGACTATGAATTGAAAAAACCTAAGGAAATGCCAGGGATCAGACCCCAGTGAATAGGCCTACAGCAAGGATGCTTGTGAGAATTAAGAGATAGATCCCACGAATGAGACTAATCTTTCTACATCTATCTCATTTCACTTACCATGATAAAAATAATATGAGACCAATACCCAAGGACAAGGGCCCAGGAGGATTGGTCCATGGTTGGAAGCCTGTCTCAAATGCTGGGGAAGAAGGCAGTTGGGCTGGAGAAGAGAGCACTATGATAAAGAGACTTGGAAATGATAACTCATTTCCTATGAAATGAGTGTACTGAAAACGGTAGTGGAACAAAGATGATAACCTCTCAGTACCTGTATTGTAAACCATAATGCCCCAGAGAGAGAGAGAGAGAGAGAGAGAGAGAGAGAGAGAGAGAGAGACAGAGACAGAGACAGAGACAGACAGACAGACAGAGACAGACAGAGACAGACAGAAAGACAGACAGACAGACAGAGAGAGAAGGGAATTGCCTGCCATAGAGACAAGCTGAGGGGAGGGTGGGGGAGGGAAATTGGGGACATTGGTGGTAGAAAGCATATCCTAGTGGAGGGACGGGTGTTGGAACAGTGTGTGACTGAAACCTGACCATGAACAGCTTTGTAACTGTGTATCTCACAGTGACTCTAAATAAATAAATATAATAAGCACCAGTTCTCAGTTACAAAAAGGAAAGACAGAAAAGAGATTAAAGAGAAAAATTCGTGGGGTCAGGAGGCTCCTGGACAGTAAGTACAGCGCTTACTGCTTAGGCATCACGCAAAAGAGACCAAAACCACTCTTTTTCGAATTCCTGACTATCTTAGACTTTGACACACTTAAGGGCCTTAATTTCTGGTAATCATACATCCCATCTTTGTAAAAGGCCTACATGACAGGAAAGACTTTGTAAAGGACTTTCATAACAGGAAGTTCTTCCAAGGGATGGAGACAGAGATAGAACAGATCCAGGACCCTTGTTCACCTCCAGCTCCTGCTTCTGGACTGAGAACTCCCACAAACTGCCCTTACTGTCTCCTTTAGCTAGCTAGTTCCCAGCATTTTTATTTAAGTTTTTGATTTTGGGCCACATCTGGCTGTGTTCAGGGCTTACTCCTGGCTCTTCACTAAGGAATCACTCTTGGTGGGTTTGTGGTCCTGGCACTTCCCATGTGCTGGGGATTGAACCCTGTTTGGCCCTGTGCAAGGCAAGTGCCTTACCCGCTGTACTATCTCTCCAGCCCAGGAAGCCATTCTAAAAAGTAAATTCCTTAAATAAAATTATAAAAAATGAAAAAAAAGTAAGGTGGAGTTCATGCACAATTCAATCAGCTAATCATTCAATCAGCTAATCACTGGCTGAATGAATAGCAGTACTCCTACATTTAAAAAATAAAACAAATTCTTTATTATCAAACATGAACTTTTCAGTTTGTCTTCTAAGTCTTGGGAAATTCTTTAATTCTGAATCAGTGATTGAAAAGTTCTGTTCAGAAAGTGACCAATACTAAGATTCATCCTTTCGTGCAAAGCTAAAAGATATAGAATTTCATCTGATATTTATTACACATCCTGTACTACTAAGATCTCAGTGTCTTCACTGGGAATTATTTGCTTGGAAGCACTTGAGGTCTGTTACACACTTGGGTGGAGAATGGAATAATTAACACCGTCTTACCAGTTTTCCTCCTCTCTTCATAATAAAATTCCCAGAGGAAAATGTCAGCAGGAAATCATTCCACAGTGACTGAGTTCATCCTCGAGGGACTGGGGGTACGTCCTGAGCTCCAACTACCACTCTTCCTCCTCTTCCTTGGAATCTACGTGGTCACTGTGGTGGGGAACCTGGGCATGATCACACTCATAGGTCTCAGTTCCCACCTCCACACACCCATGTATTATTTCCTCTGCAGCTTGTCCTTCATTGACCTCTGTCAATCCACTATCATCATCCCCAAAATGCTGGTGAATTTTGTGGCTGAGAAGAACACCATCTCCTACCCGGAATGCATGACTCAGCTATACTTCTTCCTTGTGTTTATCATAGCCGAATGTCACATGTTAGCTGCCATGGCATATGACCGCTACATTGCCATCTGTAACCCCTTGCTTTACAATGTCACCATGTCCTATCAGGTCTGCTCTTGGCTGGTAGTCGGGGTGTACAGTATGGGTGTCATTGGATCTACAGCTCATACAGCCTGTATGTTAAGACTACACTTTTGCAAAGTTAATAGAATCAACCATTACTTTTGTGACCTCTTCCCGTTACTGGAACTCTCCTGCTCCAGCACTTACATCAACGAAGTGATAGTTTTGTGTTTCAGTGCTTTCAATATTTTTGCTCCTACCCTGATCATTCTTGGCTCCTACATCTTCATCATTGCCAGCATCCTTCGCATTCGCTCCACGGAGGGCAGGTTCAAAGCCTTTAGCACCTGCAGCTCCCACTTCTCAGCAGTTTCTATTTTCTATGGCTCTGCTGCCTTCATGTACCTGCAGCCATCATCCGTGAGCTCCATGGAACAAGGGAAAGTGTCCTCTGTGTTTTACACCATAGTCGTGCCCATGCTGAACCCCCTGATCTACAGTGTCAGGAATAAAGATGTCAAAGTTGCCCTAAATAAGATCCTTCACAAGAGGTGCACACAGTGAAAAAAATTATAATTTCCTGACAAGTTTTGGTAAGAATACTGAATGACCACAATGAATGTGATTGCTACTACTTTCAGTTATTTGGAGAAAAGTGCAAAAGCATGATGAGTATCACAGTGTAGACACAGAGAGCAGCCAGATTCTGAGACACATGAGACACAGTTCATCTGTCCTTAGCAGCCCCATTCATTTTCTCTAAGTGTTTCTTTAATCATCCAAAGCCTTCATCAGACTGAGCATACCTAGTATGCATGTTGTTTATTGGATAAGACTTGTTGTCTTGATTCATGACATAAATCCATCTGGTCAGTATCATTTTATAGTCCCTATTCTAATATGCCTGTCCTTGTTTACTGATAAGTGAGCAGGACAATTCTTATAAAGTAAAATCTCAAAAATCAATCATTTTAGCTGTTTATAAATCTACACAATTTAATCAATCATTAACACTAAGTGCATAGATCTATTTAGAGAAAGTTGGAGCATATGAATGATAATAAGGTATTATTATTATATCACAAGTGGGTATACTGGTGAGAAAGAGCCTAATAAACAGCCTAGTAAAATGGTCTAATAAACAGCCCGGGATACTTTATGTGCATCTGAATATATATGATTTTTTGTTGTGGGTATTACTCTTAGCAGTGCGTGGGTGAACTGATGGTGCTGATGTTCTAACATGTGACACCTCAAGGACAGAAGAGACAGTATAGGGGATAAGGCACTTGCCCTACATACTGTCAACCATGATTTGATCCAGGTACTGCATACTGCCACTTGAGCCCTGCCAGGAGTGACCCCTGAGCACAGAGTCAGCAGTACCCCCTGTGCACTGCCAGTGTGGCCCCCAACAGCCAAAAACCCCAAATAAAACCACAATATAAAACACCATCTCAGTGGCAGCCTTCATCTCGTTCCATTAAAGCAGAACTTGTGGTGAGGGAAGGAGCCTGTTCCTCTCCGTGAAAGCGAGAGGAAATGTCCTTCTTGACATTGAGTCTAATATTAATATTGAATCTAATATTCCATGTAAACATTACTCTAGTGGATGAATCTGTCCCCAGTGCTCTTATATACGCACATTTTCAGGTGACTTACATGCACATGTCCTTTCTACCAATATCCACTGTTATGATCTCAGTGTTTTGCCTGGTTTATATGTAGCTTTCATTCCTCTTTCCAGCATTGAAAAAAAAAAAACTACTACATTTCCCCTGCATTGACGGCCGGCAGATAAGGTAAGGTAAAGGTAAAGGCCCTCCCGTTGATCGTCGATTTGCTCGAGCGGGCCCAGTAACGTCTCCATTGGAGACTTTGTTGTTACTGTGTCTGGCATATCGAATACTCTCGGTAGCTTGCCGGGCTCTCCGAGAGGGGCGGAGGAATCGAACTCGGGTCGGCCATGTTGGCCGCGTGTAAGGCGAACGCCCTACCCGCTGTGCTATTGCTCCGGCCGGCAGATAAAATAACTATTTGAGAATGTTTGGTAATGAAAGCACTCCTTTGCATACAATAACTATTAAAAAGGATTGGGAGTTGGAGAGATAGCACAGCGGGTAGGGCGTTTGCCTTACATGCGGCTGACCCAGGTTCGATTCCCAGCATCCCATATGGTCCTGAGCATCGCCAGGAGTAACTCCTGAGTGCAGAGGCAGGAGTAACCCCTGTGCATGGCCAGGTGTGACCCAAAAAGCAAAATAAATAAATAAATAAAAAGGATTAAAAAAAACCCTATCTCTATGGGGGCCAGAGTGATGGAACAGTAGGTAGGGTGCTTGCGTTGCACTGGTTGACCCAGGTTTGATCTCTGGCATCCCCTATGGCCACCCAAGCACCACCAGGAATGATCCCTGGCACAGATCCAGGAGAAAACTCTGAGCACTGCCAATGTGCCCAGAAGACAGAAAATCATACAAATTCAAAACATCTGCACCATCTGTCATCATTGAGCATTGGGGAAGACTAGCTATTAAAATATTATAATAGATATTAGATATATTTCAAAATAGAGCTGGAACTCTACTGAACAAAGGGAGATAAAGAATTTTGAAGGCTCCAAATGAGAAAAAGAATCAGAAATGCACAGGATTCCCTGGCACCTATAGAAAAGGAGGAATGTTAGCAGTCTGAAGAGAATACCACAAAGTAATAGTAATAGTCTAATACTGGGTACAAGGAGAAACTCAGATAACGTTCTAAGAGTTTGCCTCTCTTCTGTCAATCTAAGCATGCTATTGCATTGTAAAACTAAACAGATTGTGAATAACTAGCATTTTCAAGGATCATCTTGTGTCACCAGATGAATTTTAGAATCATTATGTTATCTTTGTGCTGATTATAATAATTAGGTTGGACTTGCATCTCTCTCTGTCTCCCTCTCCCGCACACAGTGCTTTACACCAGAAGATGGTCAATGATTCAGGGCGAAGATACTGGCTCAACAGGGACATAAGTGCCCTTGAAATTATTGCTCCACTGGCTACAAAATGTAGCTTCCAACGTTTGGTTTCAGATAAAGGCTCTGTCCCCAGAGCCTTTGTACCTTCCACAAACCAGTCATCAGGAAGCATGGAAAGAAAAAGGCAGTGTTTCTTTTGCAAACCATAGAACCCAAAAGGAGAGAGAGAACAAAAGGAAATGCCATGCCACAGAGGCGAGGTGAGATGGGGGGATGGGGGAGTAGGAAGGATACTGGGATCATTGGTGGTGGAAAATGGGCATTGGTGGAGGGATGGATACTTGATCATTGTATAACTGAAACCCAAACACAAAAATTTGTAAGTCTACAACTGTACCTCATGGTGTTTCACTAATAAAAATTTAAAGAGAAAGAAAGAAAGAAAGAAAGAAAGAAAGAAAGAAAGAAAGAAAGGAGGGAGGGAGGGAGGGAAAGAAAGAAAGAAAGAAAGAAAGAAAGAAAGAAAGAAAGAAAGAAAGAAAGAAAGAAAAGAAAAGAAAAAGGCAGTGTTTCCTCACTGGAAGGAAACACCTGAAAACGACAGACCTCACCTACCATAGGTGCCTTTGGTAAGGATTTAGTCATAGGGTAATACTAGCTGTGCTGGGGGCTAAGCAAAAACCTGGCTCTCTAGTCATGCATCAAAGTGAGACACTGGCCATTAATCAGTCAGGAAGGAAATGGAGACTGGAAGGGAGGAATAATGCGCAGTAGCTTTCCCTCTGAAATATGTGCAAATATCTTCGATTGTATTAATCTCTCAAGAGTTAAGTGTTTGAATTTAGACTTTTGTCTAAACAGCAATGTGAAAGTTGATTTTAAACCACCTGATGCACAAATAAAATACATTAATGCTGTAATAACTATTAGGATCTGCTGCAATGCTGTAGCCATGCTGGGTGGAAGGTTTTCTATACACCAATAACACTCAGTGTATTTCTTGGTTTTGACTTCACTCATGCCCTTTACCCACTTGGAACTGTTTACCTGATAAAAATTTGGGTCTTTCCAAATTTCACAGTTTGGCAAATTGTGAAATTCCAATGGAAAACACAATTCTATATTAGCTAAGCAATTCTATTCACATCAAGTGATTTTTTTTCTTGTAGTCCATTTTACGATTTAAAAAAATTAGTTGAGATTCTCTGACCTATAATGCTGTCATGATGGTTTCTCATGCATTTAATTCCAACACCACACCCATCAGCAGTGTGCTCACCTCCTGCTCCCAAAGACCCCAATGCCCATCTTTTCTCTCTTCCTTCTGCCCCCACCCCTTCCATCCCCCAACTCCATTGTGTGAATCAGTTACCCTGGTGTGTTGCCTCTGGCCCTCTGTTGCTACCTTTGCTGTTTTTCTTTGTCTCACATATGAGGGATCATTCCACATCATACAATTCTCAGGCTTATTTTGGATTTATTCTATAGCAATAAAGTTTCTTCTGGCATTCTTTACTATTAATGAATTTTGTGGAAATCATCTGTATTAAAGAATACCACATTCTTAATAAAAGTGGCTTCGAGGACTGAGAGATAGTACCATGGGTAGGGTGCTGGCTTTGCATGCAGCCAACCCAAGTTCAATCCCCAGCATTAAATACAGTCCCCCAAGCAGAACCAGAAGCGATTTCTAAGTGCAGAACCAGGAGTGAGTGCTGAGCACAGCCGGGTGTGTCCCCCAAAACCCCAACCCTAATGCCATTAATCATATTGATTAATTAGAGTTTTCTGATGTGTGTCTAATTTACCTTACATCAACGTGCAGTCTAAGACTGTATTCGACTTTGGGGACAAAAAGTAGAGCTATGGAACAAAGAAGAAGAAATAGGGAGCACTGACACCTCATAATAAAACTATTTTTTTTATCAAATATGCAATTTAGCAAGAACTGTTATGAGTGTAGACCTAAGACAGGAAGTACAACACTGTACTCTGAATTCTTACCCCATAACCATAATTCCCAATTAAATACAGGTATAAATTCTGAACTTATCATTACATACTTGTTTTTAAATATTATCTACTTATAATAAAAAATAAATGGACTTCATGATGTCAAATTCTATCAGTACTAAAAATAAGACGATTTGTTAGGATGTGTTCTTCTCTCAAACCAGCTATTCACAGTAGAGATTATGAAAAAAGAGCCAAATAAGACTGGTAAATACACAATCTCAACCCCCATTCATGACCAAAAACTCAATTTTTTAAAGAGCTCCGAGTTATGTCTGGGAAGCAGTTTCTGACACTTCTTAATAAACACACAATCCACACAGCCTTCTATGTGGAGAAACAAGTTAAAAAAACAGCAATGGTAATTGCTGCTTCCCTCAAGAGCTTTTACTCTGAGACCTGCAAGCCCGGGGAGAGTTTTATTTTCATGGGATTTGGAGTCTGGAGTCTGAGTTCAGGACAAATCTTCATAGTGCAGCAAACGCAATTCAAGAGTGGAAGGGACGACATTTGCTGTGCAGATGCTGGGGAAACAGCAAGGAAACTGTCACTGGAGGTGATGTTGGCCTACTTGTGAGGCAGACTGAGC